CCCCCCCCTCAATGCAGTCCTGAAGCAATGTTGGGAAGTCCATTCCAGAAGGAAAGGCGTTCTTATTTTCATCCATCCAACCTGGATGGATGAAAATCACACATCCAACGAAGTGTTGCCTTTGGAAAACCAGACCTCCAAGTCAGCAGTGTCCACAACACCGAAGAAAACAATATAGAGGTTATAACAGTATCATCATGATTCCCTCTGTACAACCCCCAAATGAAGAGTTTTGTTTCTCCTCTCCTGAGAACTTTGATAGGTACCAAAGGGCAGCAGTAATAGGTGACTTTAACAGCCATAGCACATATGGGGCTATGCTCAGGAGGATAAAAAAGGAGAGGCTGTCCTCTCCTGGGCTGAACTGCATAAACTATTGCTTATTTGTGATAGTAAGCTCCCACCATCCTACAACAGTGGGAGACGGCACCGAAGATATAACCCAAACCTATTTGTGAGTGACAGTATTGTACAACAATACACTGAATCAGTGGAACCACCAATACCAAGCACACAGCATCGGACAATAATATGCCAATTTATTGTCGAAGGCTTTCGTGGCTGGAATCACTGGGTTGTTGCAGGTTTTTCGGGCTATATGACCATGTTCTAGAGAGGTTTCTCAACCTTCCTAATGCCATGACCCCTTAATATGTTGTGGTGACCCCCAACCATAACATTATTTTCCTTGCTACTTCATAACTGTAATGTTGCTACTGTTATAAATAGTAATGTAAATAACTGATATGCAGGATGTATTTTTATTTACTGGGCCAAATTTGGCACAAATATCCAGTACGCCCAAATTTGAATACTGGTAGAGTTGGGGGATTGATTTTGTCATTTGGGAGTTGTAGTTGCTGGGATTTATAGTTTACCTGCAATCAAAGAGCATTCTGAACTCTACCAATGATGGAATTGAACCAAACTTGGCACACAGAACACACATAATCAACAGAAAATACTGGAAGGTTTTTTTAGGCATTGACCTTGAGTTTTGGAGTTGTAGCACCGGGATTGTGGCGCAGCTGGCTGAGTGTCAGCTGCATTAAGATCACTGTGACCAAAAAGGTCATGGGTTCGAAGCCAGCCCGGGTTGGAGTGGGTTTCCAACCAATTGTGTGTAGCCTGTTGTCGACCTTTGCAACCCGAAAGACAGTTGCATCTGTCAAGTAGGAAAATTAAGGTACCACCTTAAAGTGTGGGGAGGCTAAATTAACTGATTTATGAGGCCATAAAAGACTCCAGCAAAGCACTCCAGCAAAGCATGCGGGGAATGCGGAAGTGCTTCATCAGCGTCGCAGATGGACGATGAAAGCGACAGCGCCCCTGGCGGCCAGAAAAAGTTAAATAGCCTCTGTGTATGTCTGTATATGTTTGTATGTCAAAAATTGGCATTGAATGTTTGCCATATATGTGTACACTGTAATCCGCCCTGAGTCCCCTGCGGGGTGAGAAGGGCGGAATATAAAAGCTGTAAATAAATAAATAAATAGTTCACCTACACCCAGAGAGCACTGTGGACTCAAACAATAATGGATCTGGACCAAACTTGGCACAGATACTCAGTATACCCAAATGTGAATATTGGAATTTATAGTTCACCTACAATCAAAAAGCGTTCTGAACCCCACAAATGATAGAATTGGGCCAAACTCCCTACACATAACCTCCATGACTGACAGAAGATACTCTGTTTTCTGATAGTTTTTGGCGACCCCCCTGACACCCCCTGGTGACCCCCCCAGGGGTCCCGACCCCCAAGTTGAGAAATACTGTTCTAGAGGCAGAGGCGGCCCTAGGTAATTTTCAACAGTAAGCAAACAGTATTTTGCCGCCCCCCCCCCAACCAATCACTGATATATATTTTCTGTTCGTCGTGGGAGTTCTGTGTGCCATATTTGGTTCAATTCCATCATTGGTGGAGTTCAGAATGCTCTTTGATTGTAGGTGAACTATACATCCCAGTAACTACAACTCGCATATGTCAAGGTCTATTTCTCCCAAGAGCGCCTCAAGAGCACCCTGGGCAAAATCAACGATACTGCAAATGCTTACTTTGCATAATAGGTTGAGCCACCCCTGTCTAGAGGCATTCTCTCCTGACGTTTCACCTGCATCTATGGCAAGCATCCTCAAAGGTTGTGAGGTCTCACACCCTCTCAGGCTGCTCGCCATAGATGCAGGTGAAATGTCAGGAGAGAATGCTTCTAGAACATGGCCATATAGCCCGAAAAACCTACAACATCCCAGTATGCCAATTGATCCCGACTATAAGGACTGAGGAAGTTTGATGTAAACAAAGATTCAACTTCAGAAAGGCAAATTGGTTTAAATTCTCAGATATGTTGGATGACAAGATCGTATCAGTCCTTGAGGAATAGGAGTGAAATAGTATCCATCCAACCTTTCCAAGGTCCTCGTCTCCTACCCAAACCCTCTGTGACTGCTTAAGGAAGGCAAAAGTGAGCCTGAGCTTCAGAGAACTCCTCTTCGCCTCAGTCTTCTTTTCATTTGATAGCAACTCTACTTTAAGCACTGATTTTTGTTTCACATTCAGGAATTCCCTTTTGTAAACCATCTGCTCTCTGTTCCTCATGGTTCTCTTAGTCAGTGAGACTGAATAACATCTTTTTAAAGGCAAAGCCTTCCTTTCTGCCCTCACACCAAGGCTGTATCAGACTGTAGTAGCATTGAGGCAGGTTGAGGCGACTTTCAATGCTATTGAATCAGGGGAGCCACTCTTGGGCAAAAGGGCTAAAGACCTTGCAAAACTACAAATGTGACTGATCCCATTACACAGGCATGTAGCAAGGGGGGGGGAGCTTGAGGGGCTTCAGCCCCCCCCCCAATTCTCATGGTGGCCCTCGAGAAGGCCTTACTGGTGCATTATTTAAACTGTTATGTTTATTCATATCATGATCTGATCACCATACTCAATATATCCCATATGCATGGGGGTATTGGGGTAATGATACAAAAGGTTTGCTAGGTAGACCCTCTTTCACTCAGACTCAGCCCTCCCAAATCAAAATCCGCCCCCCCCCCCCAAATCAAAATCCTAGCCAAGGGCCTGCCATTACATTTAGAAGTTCATTAAAGTGAAGTTTCTTTCTTTCATTCCTTCCTCTTCTCAACCATCTTCTTCTCAACCCAACACTTGACAATGACCCCATCCACACAGCTGTATAAAATCCCACATTATCTGCTTTGAACTGGGTTATGTGGCAGTGTGGACCCTTCTACAAGTCTGTCAGGAAGCTGGACCATCCAGACAGGGTAAAAAGTTTCCCAAATTGGGAAGAAAAGGGAGGCTAAAAGAAGAAGAGGAGAGAATAATACCTCACAGCCTCTTGAGGATACCTGCCATAGATGCAGATGCTTCTAGAACAAACATTTTTTTGGGATGTATGGCTATCCATACATCCCAAAAAGCCTACAAGAACCCAAGAAAGAGGTTTCTTTCTTTCTTTCCTTCCTCTTCTCAACCATCTTCCTCTCAACACAAGGCCCCATGGACACTTAACTATGGCCCGTTCCACACAGCTGACTCAAATCTGCTTTGAACTAGGTTATATGGCAGTTTGGACTCAGATATCCCAGTTCAAATTGTGGGATTTTCCACCTTGATAGTCAGGGTTATAGGGCTGTGTGGAAGGGCCAGAATATCAAGGCAGAATATCCACAAGATCTGCTTTGAACTGGGTGATTCTAGAGCCCTTCCACAAAGCTATATAACCCAGAATATCAAGGCAGAAAATTCCACAATATCTGCTTTGAACTGGGTTATATGGCACTTTGGACTCAGATAACTCAGTTCAAAGCAAATAATTGTGGGACTTTCTGCCTTGATCTTCTGGGTTATATGGTTGTGTGGAAGGGCCGGAATATCAAGGCAGATAATCCACAATATCTGCTTTGAACTGGGCTGTCTGAGGGCCCTTCTGCACAGGCATATAACCCAGAATATCAAGGCAGGAAATCCCACAAGATTTACTTTGAGCTGGGTTATCTGAGAGACTTTCCACACAGCCATATAACTAAGAATATCAAGGCAGATGGTCCACAAGATCTGCTTTGAACTGGATGATCTGAGGGCCCTTCCACACAGCCATATAACCCAGAATATCAAGGCAGAAAATCCCACAAGATCTGCTTTGAACCAGGTTAGCTAAGAGCCCTTCCACACAACCATAAAACCCCAAATATCCACAAGATCTGCTTTGAACTGGGATATCTGAGGGCCCTTCCACACAGCAATATAACCCAGAATATCAAGGCAGAAAATCCCCTAATATCTCTTTGAACCGGGATAGCTGGGGGCCCTTCCACACAGCCATATAACCCAGAATATCTGGGCAGATGGTCCACAAGATCTGCTTGGAACTGGGTGATCCGAGGGCTCTTCCACACAACCATATAATCCGGAATATCAAGGCAGCAAATCCCACAATATCTGCTTTCAATGGGTTATATGAGGACCCTTCCACACAGCCATATAACCCAGAATATCCACAAGATCTGCTTTGAAACTGGGTTATCTGATGGCCCTTCCACACTGCCATATAACCCAGAATATCCACAAGATCTGTTTTGAATCGGGTTAGCTGAGGGCCCTTCCACACAGACATGTAACCCAGAATATCCAGGCAGATCATTCCCAATATCTTCCTTGAACTGGGCTCTCTGAGCCCACGCTGTCATATAATCCAGTTCAATGTGGATTTTGTAAAACTGTGTGGAAGGAGCCAAAGTTTGGGCAGTTTAACACACTTGTCCCATGTTTTTTGTGATTGAGCCAATTAGGAAACAAAACATGGTGGGATTCCATACAAAACATCAGTCGGAAGCCGAAGATGGGGATCACAGAAGCCACGGAGCCCTGGTGCCCACTCAGGGACTCGCTTTTGCGGGAGTTTCTTGCTTGGAAGCGAGCCTTTCCCCAAACAAACCCGCCTCGCAGACTCAAAGCGCGTTTCCCGGCGCGGCGCGGCGCTTACCTGCGCGGCAGAGGCTGAGTTTGCCCACCAAGAGCATCAGCAGCAGCAGCAGCAGCGAAGTCCTGTCTCGCCAAAGTCCGCTCGCAATCCCGGGCAGGAGAGGCATGGCTGCGCTGGTCCTCCTTCTCCCGGTCGCCTCTTCCTCCTCCTCCTCCTTCTCCTCCTCCTCCTGCTCTTCTCCAGGCTCGGCGTCTTCTTGGGCTCCTTCTCCTTCCTCCTCCTCTTCCCAAAGCCTCTTCCTCGCCCAGGTCTCCCGCTCAGCGCTGCCTCTCCTCCTCCTCCTCCTTCTTTCTCCTTCTCCTCCAAGTCCTGGGGCAGCCAGGCTTCGAGGGACGTGGCTCTCCGCCTCGGCCCGGGGCCAGGCTGCCAAGCGAGCGCCGCCGGGAGGGAGTCTCACTGCGGCTCAGCCCGCCTCCTGCTCTTCATGCCGGCCGACGGAGCCTCCTCGGGGCCCGCTCCTCGCCCTCGCCAGCCCCGCTCGCCAATGCCAGGCGGCTCTTGTCCCAAGCAGACCGAGAGCAGGGCCCCGCCAAGGGGGAGCACGACAAGCGACGGGCGGGGAAGAAGAAGAGGAGGAGGAGGAGGAGCCGCACAGAGGACGGCGGGGCCCCGAAGGGGGGCTCAGGATGGACGCACCAGCCCCAAACACAACACCACACCAGCCTCTTTTCGGTCCTGAGGCGGCAAACCGAATACGCTAGTTGTAATAGTACTGTTCGGAAGCTCCGAGCGTTATGGAGATGCCGCATCATTCCTTCGAGAGCGCAGTTTGCTCAAGAGAGACTTAGCTAATGTAAGCCAGGCCGGAGACAGGAAGGAATGTAAGAGTTCTTCAATGGCGAAACCCTAACCCTAACCCTTACCCAGAGGCGGCCCTAGGTAATTTTCAACAGTAAGCAAACAGTATCCCCCCCCCCCCCCCAACCAATCACTGATATATATTTTCTGTTCATCATGGGAGTTCTGTGTGCCATATTTGGTTCAATTCCATCATTGGTGGAGTTCAGAATGCTCTTTGATTGTAGGTGAACTATACATCCCAGTAACTACAACTCGCATATGTCAAGGTCTATTTTCCCCAAGAGTGCCTCAAGAGCGTCCCTGGGCAGGAGCCCCCGGTGGCGCAGTGGGTTAAACCCCTGTGCCGGCAGGACTGAAGACCGACAGGTCGCAGGTTCAAATCCGGGGAGAGGCGGATGAGCTCCCTCTATCAGCTCCAGCTCCTCATGCGGGGACATGAGAGAAGCCTCCCACAAGGATGATAAAAACATCAAATCATCCAGGCGTCCCCTGGGCAACGTCCTTGCAGACGGCCAATTCTCTCATACCAGGAGCAACTTGCAGTCACTCCTGACACGACAAAAAAAAAAACCACCCCAAAAAAACCCTGGGGAAAATCAAGTATACTGCAGATGTTTACTTTCCGTAATGGGTTGAGCCGCCCCTGCCCTTACCCTAACCCTGAACCGTACCATAGGCCTAAGCCTAACTCCTTACCCAAACCCTTACACTAACCCAAACCCTAAGCCTTATCCTAACCCTGAACCATACCATAAACCTAAGCCTAACCTCTTACACAAACCCTTACGCTAACCCTAAACCTTACCCTAAACATTAACCTTACCCTAACCCTGAACCGTACTCTAACCATAACCCCTAACCCTTACCCTAACCCTGAACCGTACCCTATCCGTAACCCCTAATTCTTACACTAACCCTTACCCTAACCCCTAAGCCTAACCCCTTACCCAAACCCTTACGCTAACCCAAACCCTAAATCTTACTGTAACCCTGAACCGTACTCTAACCTTACCATAACCCTTACCTTAACCCTTACCCTAATATTGAACCGTATCGTAAGTCTAAGCCTAACCCCTTACCCAAACTCTTACGCTAACCCAAACCCTAAACCTTACCCTAACCCTAAACTGGACTCCAATCGTAACCCTTAACCCTTACACTAACCCTTACCCTAACCCTGAACCACACCATAAGCGTAAGCCCCTTACCCAAACCCTTATGCTAACCCAACCCTAAACTTTTCCAACCCAACCCTTACCCTAACCCTTAACCCTAATTCTCTCACCCTAACCCTTACCCTAACCCTGAACTACCATAAGCCTAAGCCTAACCCCTTACCAAACCCTTACCCTAACCCAACCTAAACCTCCTAACCTTACCCTAACTCAACCGTACCCTAACCATAACCCATAACCCTTACCCTAACCCTTACCCTAACCCTGAACCATATCGTAAGCCTAAGCCTAACCTCTTACCCAAACCCTTACGCTAACCCAAACCCTAAACCTTACCCTAATCCTAAACCGTACCCTAACCGTAACCCTTAACCCTTACACTAACCCTTACCCTAACCCTGAACCATACCATAAGCCTAAGTCTAACCCCTTACCCAAACCCTTACGCTAACCCAATCCCTAAACCTTGCCCTAACCCTTACCCTAACCCTGAACCGTACCCTAACCGTAACCCCTAACCCTTACCCTAACCCTGAACTGTACTGTAAGCCTAAGCTTAACCCCTTACCCAAACCTGTACGCTAACCCAAACCCTAAACCTCCCCTACCCTAAACTGTACCCTAACTGTAACCCCTAACCCTTGCCCTAACCCAAATCTAAACCTTGCCCTAACCCTTACCCTAAGCATACCCTTTCTATCCTTCTTTCGCTCTCCCCACTCTCACTCCTCCACCTCTCTTCCCTTATTCACAGTCACCTTTGCAGCATCTCCATAATGCTCAGAGCTTCCAGACCAAGCTATCATGATATCACCCGTTAGTTATCCCAGAAGTGGGAAGCATAAGAAGCAAGCACACATTACAGCCACTAGGGCTGTGCCATTGATGCAAAACAGGTTTCAAAACTCATTACAAAATTAAGGGTTGCCAGCATTTCGTTGCTGTTGTTGTCTATTTGTCGATTCGCTTGTGACTTTTGTGACTCATGGACCAGCCCACGCCAGAGCTCCCTGTCAGGCGTCACCACCCCCAGCTCCTTCAGAGTCAAGCCAGTCACTTCAAGGATACCATCCATCCATCTTGCCCTTGGTTGCCTCCTCTTCCTTTTTCCTTCCTTTTCCCCCAGCATCATTGTCTTTACTAAGCTTTCCTGTCTTCTCATGATGTGGCCAGCGTACTTCATCTTTGCTTCTAATCCAATGAGCAGTCGGGCTTTATTTCCTTAAGTATGGACTGGTTGGAGCTTCTTGCGGTCCAAGGCACTCTCAGAATTTTCCTCCAGCACCACAGTTCAAAAGCATTCCTTCGCTCAGCCTTCCTTATGGTCCAGCTCTCACATCTGTAGGTTACTATGGGGAATACCATTGCTTTTCCTATGCAGATCTTTGTTGCCAGTGTGATGTCCCTACTCTTCACTATTTTATCAAGATTGGAGGGCGAAAGAGAGAAATGTGCCAAGAGGAAGGTGCATGAAGCCAACCCGATCGGGACCTCCTTCTACCTGGAAACCAATGCCCTCACTGCGGGAGAACATGCATGTCAAGAATAGGCTCCACAGTCACCTACGTACCCACCACCAGTACAGCCATCTTGGAAGACAATCCTACTCGGACAACGAGGGATCACCAAATAATAATAATAATAATAATAACAACAACAACAACAACAACAACAACAATACATTCCACAGACATATCAACCACCTTGCCTAGTTTCCAACAGACCTCACAACCTCTGAGGATGCCTGCCATAGATGTCATAAATAAATAGATTTGGGTGAAATGTCAGAAGATAATGCTTGTGGAACATGACCATACAGCCCAGAAAACTCACAGCAATCCAAATGATTCATGATTTTTCCACTTTTTGGCGGCAGACCTGCTTGAGAACTGGTCCATACTTGATCCTTCTGGCAGCTGCTTCTCTTCATATTAACTTCCGGCTGTCACAACTCTCAGCTGTAAGTAGGCAGTCAAATTCTCTGCATCAAACTGACACACATCTTTCTTTATAACATGTACCAGGAACTGCTTCTTCCACAGAAGCTCCCAGTGACACGAGGAGATTTGAGGTCACTGTTGGGTGTTCCAAGAGAAATTGTGTCATTGGAAAAAAAAAAACCTCCTTGTCATTGGGAGAGTCCATATGTAGTATGCAATGAGACATTACTTCAGGAGACTGGGGAGTTGCCACAGGAAATCAGGTACTTTGTAGGTCGGGTGTTGCAAAGATTGGCTCTAAGAGCAACATCCTTAAAATCAATAGGACCTTATTTTTAAATAAGGCTGTGATGTGAAGTACACCAAATTGATTTACTTTGGTGTGTGTGTAGGTGTGTTTCTAAGCATAAATGTACTTAGAATTGTAGATCCCCCCTCCCAATTTTTGTCCTTTTGCTGCCACAAAACAGTAGTGTTGTTTCCTTAAGAAAGAAGAGAGGATTGGGCAATTTAACTAGGAAAATTGCATATTTTGTCAGAGTGACAGGATTCTATTCCTGGCCTCATGAAAGGTCCTAAGAAATCCCTGGCCTGGGTGCTGATTCTCACTGTACGTAGCCAGTTTCGGCATACTTTGGGCCCTTCCATACAGATATATGTGATAAATTCCTTACCTTTCTAGGCCAGGGAAAACCCAGGAAGAAGTCCCAGGAAGTTCAGCAGCCATCTTAAAGAGATGGTGCATGGAGGCAGCCAGAGCACCCAGTTCTTAGAGGGGGTGGAGCTTAGGGGCAGCCTAGAGGGAATGTGGGAATTTGTGTAATTGACTAGGAGAGAGTGGATGGAGCTTAGCTGGAGGAAAGAGGGGAAAAAAGCCTTGAAGTAGGTGCGTTTTAAAACCTGACAGCTCAGTCAGGGACTGGTGTATGAAGAGTTAGGGGTTGGTGTTTAAAGAGTGGAGCCAGGGACTGGTGTCTGTAGAGTTAGGTTCTGGTGTTGGAAGAAAGAAGATAGGTTTTGGGAGTGTTAGGAGAAGAAGAGTCAGAGAAGCCAAGAGTGGATCAGTTAGTATAGATAGATAACTGTTAGGGAGAATAGCTGGTCTAGAGTGAAGACAGAACCAAGGGAAAGGTCTGTCTGGAGTTTAAGGAGTCTAGTCAGAGGGAAGTCTGCTAGATTGTGAGGGAGTGAGAGTTGTTTTGAAACTAAGCCTTGAACTGTTCTTTGAAGTAACCATACGCTTTTACTCATTAATACAACTGTTAAGTTTAAGTGCTTGTTTTGTCAAAGTTCTCTCAAATAAACAACTTTGTTCTTTGGTTAACAACAACTGTCTCAAGAGTGCCTCTATGTGAAATAGTTCCATAGCAGTTTAGTGAAGCAGAGTTTTAAGAAATGGTGGCAGTGTTTGTTTAAAGGAATCTCAGTGTTAATTACCTCAGAACTCAGAGCCCTGAGTGTGAATCTGGCACAACACAGCTTGCTTAAAGCCTCTTGCCAAACCAGAAGCTTGATACTCCTTTAAGTGTGGTCGTTGCCAGTGATCACAGAACTTTACCTCAGAAAATTGTGTGTTGGAGGCAAAGTCTCAGCA